AAATCAACTTACTCGTAATACCTTGGGATCATTATCCATCAACTACAAACACACAAAAGACATATATAATGCGGCGGTAATGCTGGTGGTAATGGCGGTGGTAATGCTGGTAATAATCCCAAGCCTAACAATAATAATAACGGTGAGTTAATGTGAGAAATATCTGATGGGAACTGGTTGTTATGAATATTATATCGATATGGCTTACTTATAAAATATTTCCATCCAGCCAATACTCCTACTTCTACTGCAACCGGACTTCCTACTCTCCCTACTTCCGGTGCCAATGCAACACTATCGTGGGCAGACTGTGTTGAATACGGTAAAAAATGCCGAGATATTATATGCGCATTTCAAAACTACACCGCAACGTGTAAAAATGGTGGCGCATGTACATGTTTCGATAAATTGAAAAACGGATCAGGAAGCAACATGGAGAATTTACGTGAGTTGATGGTTTTAGGTGTTGTGAGTATCGTCAGTTTAGCACTTGTTGGTGTAAGCTTCGGCTTTTAAGAATGGAAACACGAAACGTATTCGGTGATAGATTGTATATAACTGATAAGTCAATGCACAATTGTTTTACAAGATAGAGGTTGATAACATTTTTAATGAAATAATTATATTGCCCCGCAAACGTCAAGACATTGAAGAATCCATCTCGACAATAAAAATTATGATGAATTATCATCCCATTAAAAAACTAAGCTCACAGTAAAAACATCCGTATTTCTTTATTTGATCATTTCACCCCGGTTTCTTAAAACCCAAGACTGCTCAACTCATCTTGAATTCGTTTGAATTCAGGATCCTTGGCCTTGTTTTGTATCGCTCTCTGGCGCACATTCTGAATGCTCTTCTTTCGTTCATAGTATTCATTGCTCTTAAGCTTTCTCTTTTCCTCTAACCTCTTAACTACACCCTCATACTTCCATCCGACTTCCGTGCTTATCTTGCCAAGATTCGTGTATCGTCGACCAGGTCGAAGCCTGAGAACTCGTAAAGCAGCAGGGACGACCATACGTTTTTGTTTATCATATGGGGGCGGAATACCTTCAAAGATCTTCAGGCGGCCAAGAGCTGCTGCTCCGCGAGGGGTTTTGTGAGAGACCATTCCACGAATAGCCTTATAAAAAATGCGAGATGGGGCTCGGAAGTGGAACGGACCACGCGAAGGATTAACGATCATGCGTTTTCGAAGGTATTTATGATACTTGACTGGAAGAAATATAAGATAGATCGACAGTAAGAAAAGACATATTATTATCCATGTAACATTGTATAGTGCTAATTTGCCTCATGCAACTACAACAAATTCGCTAATTCCCATTTCTTTAAATAACCAAGATACTCCATGATCGACTCCATAAAACTATCACTAGTACATGTTCTCTCGTTATATCATCGTCCTTGCTGCTGTTTCAATTCAAACAATTCGTTCACGATATATACTCACTCTTATTCCTGAAAAAACTCCCAGATACATTGATCTCTTCAGCACGAACAATGACTACGCGTTGCCCGGATAAAATTTGCTTTGCAACAATCGAGGCAAGCCGACCCAATAGATGGCCTTTTCCGTCAACAACAACCACCTGAGAAAACGAAAAGGTGTCTTAATGTTATTTCCAATCGACGTTATTTTAATGCTATTTGCTCCTTCGACAGGCCTACCAATTTCCGATATTGTCATTATACCTTTTCAAAATCGCTCATATTTGAAACGGTGTATACTGCTGTTCTTCCAAGTGAAATGGCAAAAGAGGAGGTTCAAATGGAAAGCATGTACAAGTATGTATCGAAAAAAATTTTCGGACATGTGACTTGGGAAAATGTGACCAAGACGATCTTTATTCCATAATAATAATAATAATACAGTAACGCTCTAATTTATTTTTCTATATATCTCCTGAACAATGAGCGTAAAGCTCTGTTTATATGAATTAGCTATACGTAAAATGCAAAACAAAGCTAATAATTAAGGTGGTTTTATAAAGCGTGTAGTAATACACACTTGATACAACTTGACGGACAAACCACATCACATTTGCGGGATAATGGTATCAAGAACTCGAAACATTGGTCAAGGACGAATTTCCCTTTACATAAAGTCGTTAACCATATCCCGACGTATGGGAATACAAAGCTAGAAATTGACATCCGAACAACTCATTTGATGCTTGAAATAGAAACCTTGCTAGCGAACTCGCGGGAAAAGCAAGGCGTGTCAAAACTGCAACATTTATTACGACATATTTAATTGAAACGTATACAACAAAAAACTAAAAGCTTTTTCATCAAAAAAAGGAAGCTCCTAGCAATGGAGAATTATATAGTGGAATAGAAGCGATAGTAACACCATGTATTTACGGCATCGTTATACAATATCATTATTTAGAACGCAATCAGGCAAAACCCTAACCCGTAATAGCCACCTCGGTACAAAAATAATGTCACATACTGTATACGCAAGACATAACCGCCATTTTCTCTTGTCGAATTGCATTAGCATCAGCTAGCAAGACATCTTTAAAGGAATCGACAACTTTTTGCTTTCCTACTCTTAATTCCCGCAAAATCTATAACAACGAAGGCTTTAAACTCATAATTAACTGAACTTTCTAGCTTAGAGCGAACATGTGTAATTATTATGGATAAAGTCGACATTAACCGAACTTCATCGATGGGTTTATTACTCGATTGAGGTAAAATACTTTCGGCATGTGACATCGGATAATTCCCGACTTATGTTCACGCGTTCCGTTTAGTCATCATCTAACGTGACACATTACATATTTTAGTAGCACACTAAATAGAACGAATTTTTTAACCTTCACCCCCCTTCTCAGGTGATCAGAGATGATGTTTTAAAGATTTAATATTAAGGCCTTTGATTAAGCGTTGACTATAGAGAACATTCTGAACAATTTCCGATATACAAGCTTTCAATATAGTCGTATATTTCCGATAAATGCACCCGCAGCATCTTTCTGGTGCCCCTCATTCAACATTTGTCTAACCTCGCAACTGCTTTAGCTCCCCGTCTTTTAAATCTACTGCAACAATGCATAAAGTATACGAATTTATGTCAACGGTTAATCAATTTTATCGAGAGATAAATCCATCGACGTTGTCGGGAGCCATTGATGTGATTGTAGTAGAACAACCAGATGGGAAGTTAGCTTGTTCGCCGTTTCATGTTAGGTTTGGAAAGTTGTGCGTATTAAGGCCGCAAGAGAAGAGGGTAGGTTATGGGTT